CTTGTTACACATGTTACATGTACTTACTATTATAATAACAATAAATTAAGCAAGTAACCCTAAGCCAAACCCTAATCCTAACCATATAGTAAGTACATATTACTCAGTACTTAAATGTATAGTTACACTGTAACAAGGACACCTTAAAATAAAGTGTAACCAAGTAATATTGTGAAATTTTATTGCAGTTTAAAATAACTTTTCAATTTTTCAATATATTTTAAAATGAAATTCAATCCTGTGATGGAAATCTGAATTTTCCAGTCTTCAGTATCACATAATCCTTCAGAAATCATACTAATATGCTGATGTGGTGTTCATGATACATTTGTTATTATTCTCAATGTTGAAAACAGTTGCGATTTTTAATATTTTAGTGGAAACCGTGATAGCTTTTTTTTCGGGATTCTTTGAAAAATACTTTAAAAGTGCTGCATTTATATGGAATAGTAATAATTTGTAAAATTATAGCTACATATTTTTACTATCACTTTTGATCAATTCATTGCATCCCTGCTTGCTAAAAGTATTTAATTCTTGAAAAATGTCTACATCCGAGAATGAATCCAAATGTTCAAAAACGGCTAACGGAAACCAAATTCATTGGATTCCAGCATTTTTTTTTAGAACCGGTTCTTGATTTCCAACCCCAGCCCAGTGTGTGCGAGTGTCCTCCAGCACACTGTTACAGGCTTCCTGTGACTTGTGCCTTTGTATTGCTGCAGTCGGGCCTTGCCGAACGAAACAATTACTAATTGTGACACACACAAGCGCACACATACACGTACAACACCCTGACACTCGCAGTCCCATCCCTCTCTCTGTATCAGAGTCAGTTTCTGGCTCTCGGCCTCTATGTCTGTGTCATGCTCGCTTTTTTCGCCATTATTGCTTTTTGATCGGCGGCGAGGGGCACCCTTATCACTGTGGTAACTGCTGGGGGATTTATTGGGGTGGGGGTTGCTGAGCAGCGGTTGGCGTGGCGACCCGAGAGGGTGGATTTCCCGCGGCGCAGGCAGAAATGTCCTTTAAATCGCTCAAAGACTTGGGCGTCTCCGCAGAGAGAATAGGGTCCTTCTGCAAGAGATGGATGACTCGAGTCCAGAGGTCTGTGTCTCTTCTCTTTACCTCCGACCTTTTCTTTTTATCGGTTGCTGCTCCTTAACTCTAGGCCTTGTTCTTTTGAATAGAATGACAAATCACTTCATCGGCTTAAAGAGAAATTAGGCTTTGTGAATGGCCGAGTGAGTTAGTTCTTTATGGCTTTTTTCCACTTCTAATCTGTAAATGTGTAGTGCATTGTGTTTGTTTATGTATATAATACATAAGGAAATAATAGGAAATTATTCCATAGGAAATAATTCCTGAATAATATATACAGGCCTCATGATGGATTCAGTGTCTTTGTGTGCTGAGTAATTGTTATAGTCTCCATATTCGACACTTTTGTAAGTTACAAAAAATGTGTTTTTGTTAAGTACATTAATAGTATAATGTATAATAGTATACATTGTTTCTTAAACTAGAAATCAATTTCCACCTTTCCGAGTCTACTTTTGTTGCTTCAGTGTCTCTTTTTTGAACTTGACATTGTTTTTAATCTTTAACATATTTAATTGACATTTATTTATGAATTAAAAAAAAAAAAAAAAAAGTATTTTCTCAGTTTGAAAATGGATTGACATTTTATATTTTAAGTATTTCATTCATAAATATTTTTCTTTCTTTCTTTCTTTCTTGTGATTGTCATAATTACAGTGATTAGATTTTTTGCCGTTTAAAAAAATAAAATATATATATATATATATATATATATTTAAGAAAATTAATAAAAATTGACTACGTGTATTAGGGGTGTGCGATATATATCGTCTGCGATAATATCGTAATTGT